AATGCACAGGATGTCCTGAAATTACTGCGGTACTCCTCTGTGCAGAGGAGTATAATGCACTAAGACTGAGATGCTTATTAATTTGACATTCAGTTTGGACCAAATATTAATATTAGTAATATTGATATTTGGTTAAAAAGTTATACATTATAATTGGTTATAAAGTTAATTTGTAATGTAGGCTAATATTTTTGTTTAGGCTGAAACAGATAAACGAATAGTAAATAATATTATGCGACCATTAAAATTATTAATTATTATTAATTATTAATTATTATTAGTTATTAATTATTATTATTTATTTATTAATTATTAATTATTAAGTGCTCTTTACTATTTAAGGCGGAGTCACGGAGGGAATTTCTGTATTGTTGCTGTTATCACAGACATCGACGTCGCAAACTTATCCAGGTTTCAGCGCTCCAATATGCAGCGTCAAAAAAATTAATTCATCAAGGAGAACAGGATTGAGGCTCTTGTGTATCACTTCGATATGAATTATGAATAGATTTATTGCTGAAATGAATCGTTTCATGGAGTAGGGAGGAGGATTAAGTGAAATTATATCACTAAAACCAATTATGTACGCATCATCAAGGGTGGATGATACTCGCATGGTTGAATTAATTCAACCATGGATACTCGTATCAGCACGCAGCGGCACCAACGAAGACTTCAAATAAACTGTTATATTTTATATACGTAGTTATTCGTGTTACTTGGTTAATGGGGGCTTCCGAATTGTCAAGAAACGTTCGTGTTGCCATGTCGTACGTTGTTGCTGCTGTTAGTCAATATTCAACGCACTTGCATCAGCCAACGTGCGCCCTGGTTGGCCACGTGTTCTCGCCAATGTATATCATCGGTACCCATCTATTAAAAGGCTTTGATAACTGAATTTCACAAAGAAACTTACTTTTATTTCATTACAAATTCTTTTGATTCACGAACGATCGCCTTCAAAGTTCAAAGTTTTGATCGCCTTGAAAGTTCAAGAATCGGTGACAACTTTTGGTCGGCGACAACTTTATTATACTCTTTAGCGCCGACATCACTATGTTATGTTATGTTTATGATATGATGAGAACCAATTGTGATGAGACGGTGAGGAAAGCATTTTCGGCTAACGAACAACAATAGTCTTGCAACAGACCCCAATTTCTGCAAAATATATAGAATTTAAATATTATTCAGAAAGGCTCAGCATTTCAATTGCTCAGTCTTGAGCCTATAATGCTATTCTCTCATTTTCTATGAAAATAAGAACTGCGCGCTGAATTGCATTCGATTTTTACGATGGATGCACACTAACTGTACGTGCAGCGGTAGTCACTTGATATTTAATGTTGAAAAGTAATGGAAATGAATAATGCACTTGGTAATTTTTTATACCTACCACAGAAAAAAAACTTGTAATATATCTAAACCAAACGTCAGCGTTTCAGCAGCTTGGAGCGTTCACCATTCTTCCGGATTTTCAATCATATGATCATCGGGTATTAAGATTCTAAAATTCGAATACTGAAAAAACTATAACAGGCCCGCAGAAGGATGATGTCTAGTGGCTGTTCAAACGGGGCGAACTCGGTCGTTCTGAGTTGGGAGTGCACACTGCATATAAAGTCAAGAAGCCAGTCGTACCCAGCGCCAGCCGCCAGCTGATGAGCTGTGATCAAATGAAGCCAGCCTGGCCCAGCCAGTCGGTGCACAGCAATGACTGGATGAGGAGTGTGCTGCTGAAAGCTCGATCGCTTACTATTTGAACGGTGTTGGTTCATAATAGGCAGTGCAAGTCTTAGTAAAGTGGTGTTAAATTAACTTTTTAGACAGTGAAAATGTAGCAAACACTTGAGTTACAACAGTTATTTTTCGAGATATTTTTTGAGTGATTAGGTAATTTGTTTGATATTTCATTAGAGGGTGAAATTATTAATATTATATTATGTTAATAATAAGAATTACCCTTGTATTGTCTTCTATACTAAAACGCTCAATGCTGGATGCTAACTAACAAGAGTTCATGCTGAAAATTTATCACCGTGAAAAGCTTTTTTCCTGCTTGCCTAACCTTTTGTTGAAATTCACAGTGGATAGGTACCTACCGAGTTCCAACTTCCACCAGTCGACACAATTTTGTATCTGGAACTACTACCTACTTTTATGATGACATTAATGAAATGTACATCTATTGGAGTTGGACTGAATCTTGTGATTCATTATATCAATATTCCGGATTTAATTCATTTACTTCATCATATACCTACCTTATATTTGGCTGGCAAAACTAATTTTTTGTTCAACTGTAAGAATTAATTTTTCAAAAATTCTCTTCTGTATTAGGCTTGAAATTCTAATTTAGATTTTAGGGGGCTTACACTCAGCCTGCTGGCTGCAGATCAGCAGGTGCAGCTATGCCAACAAAGGAATCTGCTTTCAAATATCAGTGGTCTGTGGTCATTGCATATAGTTTATCGTTAATTATTTTTAGAGTTTTGCTCTATTTTTTCATTCCAATTATTATATAAAAAGCAACTAATAGTCAAGTTGGTTTAACGTTAATTGAGCATTGAGAAGAGTGGCTGTCATTGTTTTGGTCTTGGCGTCATCGTTTTGAAGGTCAGCCAGCCAGCCACACGCAGGCGCTGCCAGTTCTCAGAACGTTCGTTGCAGCAGAGCCGGCTGGGTGGCAACTACCATGAAGACCATGGTTGAAGTTGCGTTGAACTATATATACTAACTAGTTCAACCATGCACAAAGACTATGCATAAACAAGTGCATGAGCAGGAGAAAGAAATAAAGATATTGTGTAAGCTCGTGGTGCACGAGAGGCTAGAGATATTTTCGCCGAATTCAGTTTTACCTAGTCTCCATTTATTCAACTATGCCAACGAGAAACAACAAATGTAAAAATGAAAGTACAATAAATTGGAACGTTCACTTATAATAAATATTTTATAGAGAAATATATATTTCTTCGCAATTCCTTTCATATTCATGAGTTGAGATGGGACAAAAATTGTTTTCCACAGCAACAACCGAAGACGCTGTTTTTATCAAACTGCTGTAGATTTTGATCAAAATTATTGATTCGAGATAACTGCGATGCATATCACATAAAAAGTAGGCAACCTCACAAATTTATAACAAGTACCTCGCGAATTTGAAACATGTCTGGTGTATTAAAGGCTCAATTTCCATCACACGAACTGGGGATGAGGTATGATGTTATTGAGGATGGGGAATGCTGGAGGTGAAATTTCGTTGAAAGTTAGGTATGATTTAGATGGGATACGATTCAGAGTGATGCATGATTGAGTATGCGGTATGAAGTCAGCAAGTTTTAAAACCGGAAGGAAATATTTAATTCTAGCCTCTATTATTTAGATAACATTTTGATGAAATATTGTTAGATTATTGGTGCTTCTTACCTTTATTTTGCATTTATCTCTAGAAAATTTACTTATATTTCCTGAGATTTTACGCCCGCATGCCCTACCAGTTTTCCAACAGTTAACCAGCATTAGAATAAATGACTAGGACTCTAGGAGTGTAGAGTTCATATTTAAGTTATTGAGAAGAAGTCCCCAACGATTGGGAGTCACGTGCTGCGTCGACTGTATAGCTGAGTTATCGTCTGGACCTCATCCGGTCCGGCTTTTTTCTGCACCTGTAATCAGTTGAACTGATTTCTTGGAATTTATATCACTGTTCTACGAAGCTTGATTGGCTCACGAATAGTAACTGATATGAGAGCGTAAAGCGAGGTTAAACCACGATCTCCATTTCCTGCTGAGCATAGAGGAATTTTCCTGGGTTTGTTATTGATACATGCGAACAGCTGAATGATCCATTACGAAAATCATATCTTGTTCATAACGTTATATATTAAGATTCATAAGATTATATATTATGATGCATAAAATTATATATGACGTTAACAGTTCGGCCTGAAATTGCCAATCACTACCTATAATTTTTTATCTCGGTCAAGATAATCTAACCAGTACCTACCATGAATTTGCATGAATAATGAGTTTTTATTTCGTTGTCTGACATTGCCATGTAACAACATTCGTTTAAATATGATGAAAGAGTATGAAAACAATTCTAACGCAATTCGTTATGAGCAAGATATTTATTTATTGCCGGGATTATCGGTATCGAAGGCCTCCTGATTTTACTGCCTGACTCATGCATAACGTTATCATTCCTGACTCGTGCATTCCACTATAATTATGCCTTGATCTACCTTTTCACTATCATTATACGCCCGTTTTCAAGCAGCGACTCTTATTTCTTTTTAAGAACCAATTTCAGTAAAAATGCAGAAGGCTATGTATATACCGATCGGTTGTTTGATCATAAAAATGAGACGAAACACCTTTGACCGCACAATAGAGAGCTGTAAAACATAAAAACAGTTCATTATTTCACCCAATGGAACATTATAAATTCACCAAAATTTCATAAAATTTTAAAATTAGCGATAAATTATCCCAGATTAATCGTGAACCCATCCCACATCTAGGCAGAATGTATGCCAGGGTTGTGAATAGCGCTACATAACGGAACAAAAATTGATGCTGTTCACGCTGAGAATGCAACGTTTTCACTATACCCAATCTCTTGGCTTGGTTCACTGCTGCAAGAGTGCAAGACTAGAACGTCGGGAGTAAATAGTCTACAAATATTGTTTGGTTGGTTGCGGGTTGTAGGTGAAGAAGTCGCACGTTGACCGCTTGTATAGGACCGCTCGGAGTCCTCTGTCTTACAGCGTTTGAGTACGAATGTATAGCGCTAAACCGGATTCTTTCGATGTAGTGACCATCCATTCAAGTTGTTAGAGCCTATATAGTGTGATTATGATCAAGTTTTATTATTTTCCTAATTGCTGATTTTCCTTAGCGTTTCCTTATTATTCACTTGTGAATTTTGCAGGAGCCGATGGATATTTTGTAGAATGCAGACTAATTCTGATCAACCAACTGCATTTGAAATTATTAAGCTCCCCCTTCTGTTTCAGAGTAGTTTTATGATGATAAAAGTGAAGATCATGTTGATTATTGCACGCGTGAACGATGGTGCATAGTGTTGAACATTCAGCTACTTCGGTTACTTTTTACTTTTGCTGGCAAACATTCCGTGTTCTCAAATATTTGGCCTAGGCCCTAGAACACACTGTTTTATTTGAAAGTGAATTCAAAGACAAACGCACCTGTCATGATGCTGGGTATACCCGAGAATGCACTCTACAAATACAGGTGTCACTTTGTGGTGGAAAACATTGGTAAAGATGTCATGCTTCTCGTGATCAAATGGTTAGGCGAAATTGAGAACACGCACATCAAAGAGAAGCTGAAACAAAGTCCTGGCTTTTCTGAAACAAAATATAAGCGCGAGTTCAACGCAGAACAAAGATCTAAAATCGATAGTAATGCAGCTCTGAGTGGCTACGACATAACGCTATGTTATAAGCTCGTGCAGAGAATTTGTGGTTTGAAGCCCATCACTGACCAAGAGTGGAGTGTGAACAGCAATCCTGCAAATCCTTCGTTAGAATTCAAGCTTCAGACCATTAAAAAGATCCGTAACACCCTCGCACACGAGGAGAAAATTTTCACAGAGCAAGAGACTCGCATGACCATCGAGAGCCTCCGCAATACTTTCACTGATATCTTGCACGATGCAGGAGCTCGAGCCTCTATTGACAAAGCTGAAGTGGACGAAAAAGTATGCGAGATAGAAACACATATCAAGAATGTTTACGGAAAAATTCGTGAACCACTCGATCCAAATGACAAAGAACACTTCTACCGCCTGCAAAATGAAGCAAGATGCTTTCAAGTTCAGCTAAAAGATGAACTCCTGAAACAGAGCTACGACGAAATTGAAGATCTTTTCCAAAAGTTGTACAAAATTGAGCCAGCACCATGGGCCTTGCATCAACGATACGAAGCCAGCCCGACGCAGGTTTTCGTGAGAGTTAAAGTGAAAGAAGACAAAGAGCTGTCATCAAACAAAGGTGCTGATCAAACACCTGAAGTTCCTTGCGACAATATTCTGGAAATAAGAAATCACGCTTCTCAATTACCTGATGTGATTATTTTAAGTGGAGAAGGAGGAAAAGGAAAAACTTCTCTGATGAAGTACTTCTTGGAAGAGTACTTGAAGGGACCAGGATGTGCGGTGCAGAAACTCGCTGAATATGAGATGGTGTTGCACGTAGAAGCGAGAAATGACCAAATAAAATCATTTAAAGACCTTCTCAGGTGCACCATACCAGCCACTTACGCCAATATGTCATTGTCTTACGATCATCTGTCAGACATACTTTTAGGGGTTCACAAATTATTTCTGATTGATGGTTTTGACGAACATAATCTTACATCACGGAATTTGGTGAAGGAACTTCTAAATCTTCCCGGCAGCAACCGCTACATCATTACCACCAGACCTACGTCGGTCGAAGACGTCAACATGGTTCTTCCGGACTCAAAATCAAAATTGAACTTGCAACTGCAAGGAATCCCGGAAGATCAGCACGAAAACTTCGTACTCAAATTGCTCAGATCTCTTATGAATGACGAAGATAAGATCCTCCATTCGACTAAAGAGCTGATGAAATGTTTGCGACGCCTGAAGCAAACACTTGGAGAACAGCTCAATACACCGCTCAATCTCGCACTCATAGTGCTGCTCTACGTTGTTTCTCCAGAAACTGTGAGCAACCTCACCAGCTCTTCGGACCTTTACTCGGAGCTCAGGTCGATGATGACCGACAAATTGGCCTTTCGTTTAGTCAATTGCACTGATCTCACCGAGTCTGCTGCGAAGAAGAAATGCAAACGTTTTTTGAATTTCTTCGATCAAGTATCATTCCGAACATTCTGTCGAAAAGAGTATGAATTGAAGGACAACACGACGGAGAAGTTTGTGAATGTTTGCGAAGAACTTGATTTACCTGATGATCTTGTGCTGTCCTCATACCTTAACACGAAAAGATCTCTTCGTGGCATTGGCTCAATTAAAGTTTACACTTACCAGCATCTCATGATGCAGGAGTTCGCTGCTGGATGTCACTTAGCTAGGAAAGTAATTCAGTTTGTGGAGGACTTAGAATTCCCTGACGATGCAATTAAAGTGCGTAAAGATCGCATTCTCCAGTTCGACGACGAAATTGATGACTTCGAAAGTAGAGTTTCAATATCCTCTACTGATGGAGAAAGCAAGATGCCAGTATTCTCTGGTCTGTCTTCGGAAAAGGCAACCAAAGCGGCAGACTCCGTCTTCAAACCTCGACGCAGAAAACTTTCTGTGAGCAACAACACTCTCTGGAAAGTCATTCAGAAAGAATACCCGAGGATTTCAAACTGGGATGAAAATCAACGCGAAGATTTCATCAGCCGCGCTCAAAACGTGTTGATGTTCATGACCGGAGCCATTAGAGCGACTGATGACGAACATCTCGTGTCAGTCGCACACGACATTGTTCAGCTTGTCGATGATGAAGAAACGACGAACGGCCAGCCGTACACAGACATTCTTATGAGACTTGTGGCAGAATCGGGCAATAATGACCACATTACAAAATTTGTCGCTGCCGAAGTAAATCAATTAACGAAAGAGAAATACTGCATTGTCAAGGAGAATAGTCTTGCTGTGTTTCAACACATTATAAAATTCACTTGCCCTGAGATGATCGCTATTGATATCTGCGCAAATCCGCTATTAGTTTTTGAACTTCCAGAAGTGCTGCAAACTATTTCGAAGCAAACAGTAAAGAAGCTGTCCCTGGTTTTCAGACACATGTATCATGATGGAAATCCCGGCGATTGCGCACCTTTTCTTGCCCCACTGAGAGACAGTACTTCGTGCGATCTCGCCGAATTCTGGGGATCTCTCAGTAACGACGGTCTTGACATGCTACCGGAATGCTTGGGCGTCTTGAACTTGAGATTACCTCCCGAACAAATTGGTTACCTCAATAAATCTCTCGAGCGACTGAATCTCTGGAGTTTAGGTAAGTCACGATAAGTTGCACCATTTTAGTTGGAATCACCAAATGTTATTCTACGAAGCCAAGAAAGTAGAAACATTGGATTTTTGTTTCTCCCTATAGATAACTCGTGGGTGATTATTGTTATCATGTTCATGAACAAATTTCCAAAATTATTATAGTCTTATTTAAAACTCACTAGCACATGTGAAATTTACAAATGTCACTTACATGGCCTGCTTGCACAAGAATGCCCCTCCATGTTGGTAACATAAGGTATTAGCTACAACAGGTTTTGTCTCTCAGGTACGGTGGTGAATCTCAGCCACCGGCCTGATCCCTGCACAATCGAGGCCATTCAGTTCGAAGGGTCGCGGCTTGTGCTCGTCGTCTCGGCAGTGCTGCGCGACTGTGCCAGTGACATCGAGTGGGCTCTAGATGCCCTCGAAAACTTGTGTCCCCAGGATCGCAACAAACAAGTCACAATATTTGGTTTCTGGGAGACCAAACTTACTTGTAAGTAGTAAACATCAACATCCAACCCGTTTATACGAGTTTTTCGGAAGCTTCAATTTAACTTCGTATTCGTAGTATGTCTTTCAACAATATGTCCAGAGAGAGAACGCTCCATTAGGTGATAACATGTTAACCGAAAATATAACAAAACTCTTTGCTCTTAAATATTTATGTTGCAGATGCTGGGGCCGTACTGCTGCTGGAGGGTCTTCACAGGCGCGGGTTCGTTGCTTTCGATTTCGTGGTCATCAGATCGACCGAACTAATCAAACAGACGCAGCAAGAAGAGCTCACCGAGATGGCGCTTGCGCTCGGACAGAAGAAGGTATTTATGAACGCAGATGACACATTTGGCTTAAACTATTCTTTATTTCGAGCAGAAATTTCGCATCTGGCAAAACAAATTAATTTTTTTGTGAAACGAAAAAATATTTAAAATCAAGACTTTACCTAGTTAACAATATCACATGAATAACTTTTTTGTGCAGTTTTTGATCATCAAGGACCCGTGAGCGTCTCCACTGGTGCTATAACTGGCATCGAGTTGGCAATTTTGATGGAAGTGCGTCTGGTGCTGCCGGGCGCTCTGTTATTGTCTGTTGACATTTGTATTGCTTGATTGATGCTAATTCAAGTGTTTCATTAATTAGGTTGTTGATTTGTGAATAAATTAACGACTGCTTGCATGGCAACAGTTTGTAGTCGTTTGAAGCATAAAATGTTTCGATGGCGAGAAATGGTCTAGAAATGTAACAGAAAAGTATATGAAAGCTTGCCCATTAAAGTGATTTTCTTTTGTAAACATTTTTGGTCAGGCACGTTTGTGAGAGTGAAATGCATCGGTTAATTTTTTCAAGTGTTATAATCTTCGAACTTTTGACTAGGTACTATTTTATACATTTTAAATCTGTTGAGGAAGTTTAACAAAAATTTGCTTGCCCAACACCTTTGAGTTTGAGAAACTCGAGAAAATAAAGAAGTTTAATTGGTAAGCATTGACTGTAAACAACTTTTGCTTTTTGCTGTCAAGGCAAAAATCACTTAAGTAAGTTTCTGATTAGTTTTTAAAAGCCAAAAGTCTTTCAATGAAAATTTGTAACGTCAACACTGTATATAAGTTATCTTTTAGTGTTTTTATTTAAAATCTAAGTCATACAGGGAATAGTCAGCCTGACAGGTGCTAACGTTATTTGAAGCAAAATATATTTATTGGCAGTTATTTAGGCGTATTAATGAAAACGAGTTTGTGTAATTTGTAACATAGTGGAATGTATACTTAGGCTTTATAATATCACCCAACGTACTCTAAGATTCAGTGATCTGATTATGACCAAAAACAATTTTATTCACGTTTGACCATGTGTATATTCTGACACGTTGTGCAATGAGCTGTTCGTTAGTATAAAGAGGTTTCCTTATCTTCGCGCAATTGAACAAATTTATTTTACTAAATTTTAATGTTATTTTTACCTAATATTTTTACTAATTTAGGCCATCATAGGTTACGATTTGAGGTGCTTTAGAAAGAGCAGTGGAATGTTTCTCGTGAGATTCAGTTCGTTGGTGTGAATACATTCCTTAACAAGTAGAATAAACTCCTGCATATCCAACTCATACAATATTAAAAAGTTTCAGTTTAAAATCCCGTTATAATTATTATCATTATTTTTATCTTAGTTTCAAATAAGCTTATTATGCTCAAAATATTTTGTTTGACTCTATTCAATTCTATGAGAATTCGAAAAAAATCTTATATAGACGGCTTAGAGTTGAATGAATCAAAACTAGAAATGATCGAATTGTATGCAAATGCAAAACCATCCTAGATTTGCCTCAAGATTTTAATGGATGTGAACTTGAAAAATTGTAGGTTAGAGTTGATCCTAGAACGTCTCATTTCGAATGATTCAAACGTTCTGCATGATTTAATCTAAAACCATCTCGAAAAGACGCTTAGATCTAAATCATTATTAATGAATACCCTAACGATAGGTTCATTGCATTAAATGCTTACAGCATCAAAAAATTGCACTCGCGTTTTCATCGTACTGCTAAAAATCTACTGCAAGTGCTTTTTATTTACTTACGATTAATGACGTGTATCACTGCACTCGAAATTTTCAAACATTCCATCGCGGAATAGCATCAAGAGATAGGAGAAAATGGGAGATAAATTATGGGAGATAGCAATCGTCAATATCTGAGCACGGATTCGAATAATCAGATATCAGTAAGACATGCCGTACATGTCACGTCAGCCGGTTTCCAATCGCATAGACTGATTATTATGCCAAGTTTGGCCTGTCGCCGATTCTAATGATATTCGTGACCTGTTCGCACGAGTTCTAAAAACTAAACAATTGGCCAGATCCATGAAACTAACTGGCTCCTAGACGTTGAAGATAAATATCTACATGACGTTACGCGGAGCGTCTTGGTCGACCTGTAGTTTTAATGAACAGGAGCAATAAAATACCAGCGAATGAATTTATATCCAGATCAATGTATTTTTACATGATAGCTACTGACGTTTGGCCGTAAACTCGAGCATTTTTAAAGACGGAAGATTATTGCATATTTCAACAGATCACTTTCTATTCATCTTACATCAACCATGAAGTAATATTGCCTCCGTATTTCAGAAATAAATTAGAAAAAAATATTTAGTGAGGCAAAATAAAGATGGATATGGTAGCAACAATTCCGCGAGTACTGCAGAGGAAACATGGTACCTGTTACCGTGACACTACTTACTAGAACTCGTACCGTCAACTGGGGTGACTTCGGCCACCACTACAACAGAAACAAATGGCAGCAAAACAAAATAATAAACGTTGGCCAAAGTCACCTGAGTCATTTTGGCCAACGTTTATTATTTTGTTTTGCTGCCATTTGTTTCTGTTGTAGCGGTGACCGAAGTCATCCCCGGTGGCCGAAGTCATCCCCGGTGGCCGAAGTCATCCCCGGTGGCCGAAGTCACCCCAGTTGACGGTACTGCATCCTAGAAATTTATACCGATGCTCTCGAAAAACTATCATAATTTTAGTTCGTACTTTAGAAGTCCTTAAAATAAACATTAGGTAGAAATATCGCATACGAAAGTGGAAGAATTTGTGGCCTATGTCGAGAGTCTGTCCTTATTTAGTCAGTCGGACATAACCTGTACCCACGTCACATTATTGAGAACATTCGAAGTGACTGAATATTATGCAATGGCGTGCCCTGAGGCTTCATTAAAGATTTATTTTTAAAAAAGTTTGCAACGAAACGCTTAGAATAATGAATCATACTAACACGAAAGCGACGAAAAAAGTTGACAAAACAATTACATTCAACCAATAAACATGGAAGCATGAAATCAAGTTCTCCTGTAATAAGATCGCTGATGGACGCCAAAGCAATACCCGTAATACTTGCGCCAAAGGCGTGACGAAAGGATACATTCTTCGTGAAACTTTCAACACCAAAACTTTTATGAGCTCCTAACTTAGAATATTCTGCGACAATCTAAGAAAAGTTTTTTAATCGCATTTCATTTTGAATCTTGTGACATACCTCAAACGCTACAACAGCGGACATTAAATAAAAATAGCATATTATTATACGTTCACATACTTTCTATAGTTAATAAGCAATCCAAAAGTAAAAGCATTTACCGTGCTAGTAACAGTTGAGTGATCCGAACTTTGGCAACTCATGGAAGCGTAAGAAACTGAAGTTAATTTATGAACAAAGGTTCGAATGTTCTTCTTTTCTGTAGAAAGAAGCGTCTTTCTCATCCCTAACGCACTTGGTCAACGAATCCCTGTCCTCAGGTAGAAATATATAATCAATCAGGTAGCGCTTGATATGGCCGCCAGACAAACATGAGATTTAAAGTAATAAATAAATACAAAATTATCCTATTTTAGAAGAGCTTGCACAACGATCCCTTCATAAACAGATCAACTCGTCAAAAAAATACTTCACTTACGTGCTTCTAATGAGCGAAACGCGCGTCCGATAAATACAACTGCGAAAGAGTTATTTTATTTGCCACATGTTTACTAGTGCTTTAGCTATCTCGCACCGGAAGTCAGAATGAGGATCACCAACGAGGTGCAGGTCTCAATTGTCCAGCCCGCTGAAGCTGGCTCGAATAAGCAGAGTTAGCATCTCAAAGAGACGAAGTGACAAGGAGGGACAGGTGAAAAACAACAGGAACTAAGACACTTGAACAAGAGGTCGCTTACACGGGACGTCGGCCGCCCGCACGAGAGAGACAGAGAAGGAAAATGTAAGGAATCCTACCTACATAATAACTTAATGCAAGGAATCCTACCTACATAATAACTTAACCCTACAACTGAGACCTGCAGTAAGACACTGCGAGCTCAGCGGTGGGGCGCTCAAGAAAACTTCCTGGGGGCGCGAAATCCCTTAGGACTTTGGACAAGCACAGACACGAGTCAGAAGCCCATTCTGAGGGAAGCTGCAAAAAAAATCAACTTGTAAAATGCTTACCACCTGTTGCAAACTCGACGAATTTGCGACTATCACCTTAATTCTAAAAGTGTTTGTGCGAATGACAGATTGCGACGTTAGTTCTGCCTTAATCCTTTTGCATGGAAAGCATTACAGGATCAGAGAGTTGGCCGTAATCGTCGTATGTCCCTCGGGTAAGAACAAATTTTCCCTCGACCTTTGCCGTTATTATTGCGCACGCTTTCAATCCTGGTGTTTAAAGATAGAGGCCCTCAACACAACATATTATGCATAACTCATATATAATAAGAGCAGCCCTCAACACAACATATTATACATAGTTTAAAAATATGGAAGAATGGTACAACAGTGGAAGTCGTAGCAGTTCACCAAAATCAGCAACAAACTTCAATAAAACTAGTCATTATCTGTGTTTTGTATGGAGATGACCCGAACTACAAGCTGATATACTAAATACATTCACTGAACGTAAAGATGCATTCCTTCTGAATCTTCATGATGCAAATAAAAATACATAACATTGAACTAACCACTCAGTACTGAAGTGAGTGACATGAATGTCGCTTTGTTCCTAAAAGCTTATCATCAGCACGTTAGGTATTCAGGGATGAATTTATTGTTTCGAACAAATAACGATTGGGAACTCTCATAAATAATGAAATAGTCTACACTGTTGTGTTAAGTGTAAGCGTAATATATTTAATGTAAATATTTATCCACGTTAAAAGCTAAAAATTCCAACATCCTTGTTAAACAAATGAAGACGATCGATAATAAATAGATCGTTACAAAAAAAATACCGGCAGTCGCGTGACACAAACAGTTCTTAAAAATTAGTCAAACTACACATTAAAACAAAATCTCCGGTGTATAGAGCAACATAAACACATCATCATCACCGCAGAAAAACTTGATCAACAAGAGTCCGTTACATATTTATTTTATTTCTTTGCCGTGCCGCGCGAGGAAAGTTTTCATGCGAGATTGGTCCTCCAAAATGCTTTCATAAACACTTAGTGCCGCCTCTGAGGAGCCGGCAGCTACGAGCCGCTGGTCTATGAGCCGCAGAGCTTCATGCTTGTCCATATTGAGCGTCTCGATGGCCAGGGAGGTCAAATCGAGGCTGTGATGGCGCCTAATGGACTCAATGAGGTACGTCACTTGAGCTGCACAAGAACTCACAGCATCGTGGCTTTGGGAAGTACCATCTTCCATGCTTATTGCTAGCAATCGTGACAGAATTAAAGATAAAATTTCTTGTTCCTCGGTCCCGAACGCAGTTAATGGACTCAGGCCTGAATGGTCCATTTCGAAACATTTCAGGAGTAGCAAAGGCACAGCGTCAGAGAGCTCACCAAGCTTCTTCGCCAAGTTTGAGACAGATTGGAGCACTGACGACACTGATAGCTCTTTTGCATTGGGAAAAACTTTGTTGCGAATTAATCTAAGATTTTCTCCAACGGACGATTCGATGTCAAGATCAAAATCTTCACCAACTTCCCCGACCACTTCAGATACTTCAAGATCCTTATCGACAGGCATAGGATTAAAAGGCTCGGCATTGCCGTTTTCTTCATCTGATTCACTTCGTGTAGGTTCAGCGCTGCCCTTAGCCAGCTCACGAAGAAAATTTTCACTAAATTCTTTCACTTGCTCAGCCCATTTATTTTCCTCCATTGTACGCATTTTAGCAACCCAATTCTTCTCCCATTCTGCGAGGATGACATCCAGGGGATATTCGGTCAACATGGACTTGGCCTCCTCGGACGTCAAGAACTCTGCCAAGTCCTTGCCATACTGCGGGTGCGACGACGGCCTCGCATCGTACTTCTGCAGCTGCTGCTCGTGCGTGCGCTGCAGCTCACGCAGCCCTGCCGCCGCCAGCGCCTGTACGCTTTTGCTGCTTGACCTGCAGAAGAGGGAAAATTGTTACATTTTGAGGATGATAACGAGTCAGAGTAGCCTTTAACACTACGAGTCAGAGTAGTCCTCAACACTACGAGTCAGGGCAGCCTTTAACACTACGAGTCAGAGCAGCCCTCAACACTACGAGTCAGGGCAGCCTTTAACACTACGAGTCAGAGCAGTCCTCAACACTACGAGTCAGAGCAGTCCTTAACACTACGAGTCAGAGTAGCACTCAACACTACGAGTCAGAGCAGTCCTCAACACTACGAGTCAGGGCAGCCCTCAACACTACGAGTCAGAGCAGCCCTGAACGTCATGAGTAACATAGTTAAGTCAGATTGAGCCATGCAGCCACAGTAAATACCTCCCTTATTTCGATTATCTGCTGGAAATGGCCAAAAATTAATCTTGACTATTTAAGAGAATTAAACTCATTTTAAGTGATACTAGAAACATGAGTTACATATTAATAAATTTTCACGATTAAATTTAAAATTCATCATTCATAAAAAAAATTCATTCAATAATTACTACTCCTAAGCAAAAAACATTTGCCAAAAAAGACGCTTGGCCTAGTAAAAACACTCACATATTCTTTGCTAGCGAAGATTCTTGTTCGGGCGAAGTACTTCTATGTCTTTTCCTGCGCTTATGCTTTTTGGAGTCGCGACTACGAATGTGCTTGTTTTTGCTGCGCCGAGTGGAGGAAGAGGAGCGTTTTCTCTTCTTGTGTTTGGTATAGCGGTGCTGGCTCCTGCCGGGTGAACCGCTGTACGATCCGTCAATATCATTTGTCTGGCCAGGGGAATACGAAGGAGATTGCTCGAGCGATGAGCGTGAGTGAGAACGATGAGCAGAAGAGCGTGAGTGAGAACGATGAGCAGAAGAACGTGAGTGAGAACGATGAGCAGAAGAGCGTGAATGAGAACGATGAGCAGGAGAACGAGAATGAGAATGCCGAGCAGAAGAGTGTGAATGAGAACGCGACATGGGAGAGATTGAATAATTAACCAAGGAACGTGAATGGTGGAAAGGTGACTGTGAACGGAGTGGTGACCGGAGTGATGGCCGAGACCGGAGTGGTGACCGAGACCGGAGTGGCGACCGAGACCGGAGTGGTGACCGAGACCGGAGTGGCGACCGAGACCGGAGTGGAGACCGTGCGCGACGGGATGGTGATGGTGTGTATCGATGGGCCCCAAGCATAAGCGATTGTGTGCGTAGTGAAGGCGATTGTGAACGAAATGAATGGGATAGTGAACATGAATCTTCCATTGAATATTCATGTCGAGCGCGTGAGCTTGAACTGCCGGCTGAACAGATAGCGGTCTGAGGCAGACGATAGCGAGACGAACCCGACGCGATTGCTGAGGAATGAGGTTTGGGTTCGTTCAGAATACTGCGAAGAGGATTTGAATCTGCTTGACTTTCTTTTCTAGAACGACACACATCGTTTTGTGACATGGATAAAGATTTGTGTGCATCCAAATGAACTCTTTTGTGTTTGTTTGAGACGCAAGTGTCTCTGCGCAGGCTTTCAGGTGTGGCTTCAGAGGCCAATTTAGGAGCATTCACTTTTGCTTCCGTAATCGATACATCAGAGGCCGACTCCGCACAACTTGAACTTGGCAAGTAACTTTTTTTGGCATCACTCTTCTGAGGCTTCGCACGTGGTAGAGTGCGACATTCAAGTTGAAAGTTTAGCAGCTCATCCGCATAATCTAAAGGCGCATGCACCTTTCTTTGACTCGATGCGTGTTCAGTCTGAGACCCAGGACCAAGGTTCCGGCGTTTGTAGTCAGATTTTTCATTTTTTCTTGCATGGGTCCAACGATAATGAGTCTCTGCATTACCTTTAGAAATCATAGATGCAAAATTGTTCTTTTTTCCAGACGTCCTAATTACATCAACAGGAAAAGACAATTCACGTCTTTCACAAATGTCCTCAAGAGAACTCACAGTCGACTTTCTCGGAGTTAATTCGTACTTTTTCAAAGTTTTATGAATACCATTGTAAACTAAATTACTGATCTTTGCTTCAGGCATTGAGTGAATCCTGGACAGTGGTAGGAAAGCCTCTGTGTAGGGTATGTTTGCCAACATGCACGCCTCACTAAGACCTTCGTCAAATTTTTCAAGCAGTCGCTCAAGGCAACGATCCCGGTACGCCATCACCTTGAAGATCTTGTCAGAGAGCACATGCTCAAACTCTGCTTCATGATCGTCTACAAGAGACCGAACCTTGTTCTCGAGACTGACTTTTGGTAAGGAGCTCAACACAAACGTGAGATCGTTTAAGCATTCAGACTCACGCAGTTCAGTAGCAACTTGAATCAAACGACACACGAAGTTTTCGATTTGACTCTTGTTCTTAGTTGGACTTGGAAGAATGAGAGGTGCATGGTCAGTGCACTCTTTCCATGCCACATCTTCGAGGAATATATTTTGAATGCTAGGAACAAAAATGACAGCATCTGTCCTATTGCAATGATTGTTGATGACATCGATCACATTCTCCGGGTTTATTTCATCACTAAGGAGGAAGAGCGCAGATACCCTTGAATTTCTGGGCCAGTTGTTGGCAAGAGATTTGAGACGCGCATCGCCAATAATGCAGAGTTGATTGAAGGTCATCTGGTTTCCAGGTTGTAGAATGTAGTTTGAGTGAAATTTCAACAGATCTCTGCAAATCAAGTTGGCTTCAACATCGGAAGGAAGAGTTCCATTGATCAACTTCTTGTTTGGCAATGAGAGACGACACTGCAGATCGGGGCAATTAATCTGGTCTGAAGTCAGTGAAGGCGGAACATTGAGCCTTTTTGCATCAATATTATCATTGATGAGTTGAACGGCTCCATCAAGGAACTTTGTAAGCCGATCGATCTCAGCAAGCTCTGCTTGAGTTGAGGTTCTTATCGATCTTCTGTTCAAGAATTCATGAAGATAAAGCATGTTGATCGGCCAGACGTGAGAAAATATTACAGTAGCTTTGTTAACTGGAATGATAGCCTTGATGGCAAGGTGTGTGTTATGAACTTCTGTCATTAGTTTGGCAACAAAATCTTCTTCTGGATACTTTAGAGTAACTTTTGTGCAGTCTTCACTTTCAGTCGCCTGAAAAGTGAACAAGAACATACAACAGTAATAAGAATCATAATAATAAACCAACCAGAATCTAACCACAACATTTTTTCCCATTTCAATACATTCTGCAGCATCTATAAATACTAAAATGCAACTTCAGAGGTGCCTCCTAAATCACCATCCTTATAAGGAATTTTATACCAAGGCCAATTCCTTTAGAATATTTTCATCATGAAAAGAAGTTGAAGAGGAAAAACACATACCAGAAAAATTAGCAGCCATCATTAAGTGCAAATTCTCCATACCTCTAACTAGATGCCTCAAGCATATCAAAATTACCAGAGTAATCAAATCAAGTGTAAAGAACCTGCATAGGTTGTCTTCCACAAGATTACCTCGAGCAAGTCTCTCCAGCCAATGGTGCAGATAATGAGAAGTTGCTGACACAGAGGACTGCCAGGGAAATCCATCACATGGTTTGAGAGAAATCGTGAGAGCATCGGTGGCAGCAATTTTAAAGTTGTTCCTGCCAAATGAAATGCATAAATATAAAATATAGTGAACAATCAATAAAAATAATATTCAGGGTTGAAGATTTTGAAGAAATTCTTGCAAGAAATTAATTAATTCATAGCTGAAATTCCATTACCAAAAAATATGTTGTAGTAAAATAAGGGAATCCGTTCACCAATTATTCAGAAGTAGTCAAGTCACTAAATTAAAATCCAAAAAAAAAGATAAGCTTTAATTGCCATGTGTACTTAGCTTCAAATAGGAAATGAGTAAAATGACTCATGAGAATGTATAAATATACCACTAAAAACCTTATTTTTCAGTATTGTCTTCACTACTTTCGAAGAAATAGACATTTTGGCATTTTTATCAAAACAAAAATTTTTTACTATTGCATGCACACAATACGTAATTCCCAGGCTTGTATGCCAGCTGTTTATTTTAAATAGGAAGCAAAATTATCAAAAATTAAAAGAAACATGTTTTGCAAAAGCAATAAATTTCACAGTGATATGATAGGAAGTTCAGACAAAAAATCATAAAATGCACATTGGTTAGAAGGATGCCATATATATAGTGGTCACATTTTTCTTTATAAATCATTGTGATGTGTCTGAAGTGACCATAGAGCAAGACCGAAGACCAAGACATAGGTAGTTGTATTATTCTACGTATTTTTTTTAAATTTGAATTGCATTTTCAGTGGTCAGCACTGCAAGGTGCTCATCGAGACTAAAACATTAAAAAGTTAATTGAATGCACATGCACAATATTTGGTCATCAGAGAGTAGGTACCATGTCTTGAAAATATGCGGAGAGTGGATTTGAAGTGGCCGCTCTGGATGTGGGAATATCGTTCATCCCCAACCAGGACAATGCCTCGAAATTTCTGCAAAAAAAAAATTACTGCACACAAGAAAATCAAATTAATCATTGAACCCAGTCCTTCAATTTTGACACAATGTTAACAAATTGAAAATACACAATGTAATACAATATTACAGGCAGATTTTATAGGAAATGAATAACAGCACTCACTTGTTTCATGGTCAGTTTGGCTTTCATTCGATTTTTAGGAGACAGTTGCTGTAAAGTAGAGCTTGAAGCATGGCTGGATAGCTCTTCCGCAGGAATACTACCTTCAATACTTCCCACAGCAGATAAAGTTTTGTATTGTTCAAGCAACTCAGAAGCAGGAAGACTCATTGAACTCTCAGAAGTATTATTGCTGGGATGGAAGTTGGAAGTATTTGTGATACTTGTTATACTATCTTGAGTTTCATTACTTGCTGCTGTCCCCTCTGCAGACAGCTCAGAAGAATTTGTGATCTTTTGGAGACTTTTAGTCTGAAGAGGAAGAACTCTATTGACTGGAGGCTTGTAGGTGGTTGAAAACCTAAAACTTTTGAAAGGTAAAATTTGACTTTTACAACAATGTTTACCATCACTGTTTGATCTGGGGATATCAGATCTTAATAATTTATTTTCAAAAAACTGTTTGGGAGCAGTTTCAAAGGGGTCACTATTTGATTTAACAAATCCAGTCAGACTTGATGTTTGGCTCTGCAAATCAGGTGTTTGAAGTGAATGCATTGCTATAGAATTGGAATCCAATTTTTCCTGTTGGCATGTTGGTTTTTTTATAGATTGAAAAGGTACACAGTTTGACTCCTGCAGTGACAAAATTGAAGTTGATGTGGATAAGTTTTGAGATGCTAAAATGGAAGTTGAAGCAGAGGAGTCTTGAGCTGCCAAGGTGGAAGTTGAAGCAGAGGAGTCTTGAGCAGCCAGGGTGGAAGTTGAAGCAGAGGAGTCTTGAGCTGCCAAGGTGGAAGTTGAAGCAGAGGAGTCTTGAGGTGCCAAGGTGGAAGTTGAAGAAGAGGAGTCTTGAGATGCCAAGGAGGAAGTTGATGCAGGTGGCTTATGTGATACCAATTGTGCAGTTGATGTCAATGGCTCATGGGCCAAAATTGTAGTTGATACCGATTTTTGCACAGAAGTTGATGCAGGTATCTTATTAGAGAGATCATTGTTCAAAAATAACTTCATTAAAGTTCTCATAGCAGGTGCATCACTAAGAGCTTTCCGGTATTGTGCATCAGTGTAAATGCTAGGATGAGTAAAATTCTTGGGTTCAACATTTGAAACAGGCATTTTCTCTTGATTTTTATATAAGCTTGTCGAAGAATCTGAGCACTTGCTTGTAGAAGAATCTGAGCACTTGCTGGTAGAAGGATCTGAGCACTTGCTTGTAGAAGAATCTGAGCACTTGCTGGTAGAAGGATCTGAGCACTTGCTTGTAGAAGAATCTGAGCACTTGCTGGTAGAAGAATCGGAGCACTTGCTGGTAGAAGAATCTGAGCACTTGCTTGTAGAAGAATCGGAGCACTTGCTGGTAGAAGAATCTGAGCACTTGCTGGCAGAAGAATCTGAGCACTTGCTGGTAGAAGAATCTGAGAACTTGCTGGTAGAAGGATCTGAGCACGGACTGTTAGAAGAATCTGAGCACTTGCCAATGGTATGATTTTTCACTGCTAATGATTGATCACATTTGGATGAGGACAAGCTATCAGTTACACAACTAGACACGCAGGAAACGGGTGGTTGACAAGCTTTGCCGGTGGGTAATTCAACAGAATGCAGGACAAAATCTGATGCCTCTTCCCCAGCTGTTTCCAATTTTTCCATCACTTTTGGAGTTTCATTTGTGAATCTGTTGGATTCCATTGTATACAAAAGTTTTTCTGACTTTACTCTTAAGATCACATGCCCAAAGTTGTCTCAAAATTAAATCCTGTAAATAAAAAATTTTAGGATATTAATATATTACTCAGATACAGGTGAATAATTGAATATTTTTGGAATTCTGTAAACATCTTTCTATTTTTGTTCTAACCCTATCTATAAGTTCCCATTTTGTTCTCCTCACATTGGAAAACTAATGAGAAGAAAGGTGTACACAACCCAAAAATTTAATTATTTGCATATTATTATTTAGTATTTATACATATGTGAAAATATTCAAAAATAAATTTTTTTGAAGGCCAAATTATCACTGACCAAATGCAGGATACCTAACAAACATTAGTATATGTTGAATGGTACTCTCTGTAAAAAAATTGTCCTGTCCCAAAACAGGTTCACAAAATTTTAATTTCTAATTTTTTTCTTATGTGAATACAAAAAAAAATTATGCTCATGTTTACCAGCCATCATTGCTATACAAGAAGGCTTTAGCAGTGAGCTTGAGGCAGTTCTTCTTTGCTGTTCTTCTAAAAAATGATCATTTTGGGAAATAAATTAGGTTAGTACATTGAACATCATAATTTTTACCAAAGATTGGGTAATGTGATAAAATAGAGGCAACAGAAGATTTTTTCTTATATTTATTGTAGGAACACATGAAGCAAGTCTAAATATGTTAATGAACTATTTGCAGTTTCATGGGACCTACAGAAGGAAGTTTCCAAAATTCCAAAATTTAATTTACCAAAGTGATATGAAAATAATGAAATGTCCCTCCATGTGCATGTGGGAGCCTTCTCTAGGTACCTAGACATGAAGTGTGAAGATACCAATTTTCCCCTTACAATCTCAATTTCAGGGTTGGTGATTTTTTAATTTAAAAAATCATAAAATCAAAAATCTATTCTATTTTTTCAGCTTTTTTGTTTTTTTGAAGTGTTATTTTTTATATTGCAATTAGCCTACTAAAAATAACAGTACAATAACAGCTAAAAAGGGCAGTTATTGCCTTCAAGAATGGCCAAGGTGGTGTTTACCACTTTGGGACTTTTGAGTAAACAATTATTGATAAGTCTATTCATTAGCTTTGTAAAGTTTGTATGGAGCAAGGTAACGAGCAAAATATTGACCATTTAACAGTCTTCAATATACAACAACACTTCAGGAATGCAGATCTTCTAAACATTGAAGAGTCACATAACAGATAGATAGCTGATAGCACAGTGCACAGCACTATCAATACAGCCATCCCTTGATTAGCACGGTTTTAAATACCGCGGAAAAAAATTTGCAACCTACCCTTAATCTACGCGGCGTCAGTTTTGATTAGCGCGACTTTTTTTTTCACAACGCATCATTTTCCCGCCTCTAGCCAGAGGTGTTATGTTCGTAACAAAAGTGTTACTTTTTGCTTATTAGATCTTATGTTGTTACTTTTGTTACGACTTTTGGAAAAATTCGCCAAATGTTGTTACTTTAGTTGTTTCAGCCAATAATTCTTTAAATAAGGTCCCGTTCTGTAGGCACTCGTGCTGACTAGTCGGTTTAACCATGCCTTGTCTCGTTCATAACTCGAATGGTCGAGTTCGGCAACATTCGCCGGTAAGTGCGCCATGCCGGTGCTCTAGTTACTCGTTAGCCTTCAACTGGTCAAGATCGCTGACATATCTACTGCTCATTTTTATCAAACTACATAATTTTCCTTGTCACCTTGATAAATTACCGTCATAATTATGGACAAAAATGGAACGCCTAAACGTAAAAATATCACTTTGGAGACTAAGCTTGAAATTTAGAAAAAAAATTATTTATTATTTAGAAAAAAATATGATGAATTTTAGTGAAAAAAAAAAATATTATTATGTAACTTTGCTATTTTTGATGATTCATTATAATTATTCCCATATATTCTTAAGTTTGATTAGCGCGGTTTTGCTTAACACGGTAAAACTCGGGGATTTATTAACCGCGTTAATCAAGGGATTGCTGTAGATCTACTAGTTTTATGTCCTATAAATCTACCAGACTCTACCCTCTAAACCAGTGGTTCCCAAAGTGGGTGATATCGCCCCCCTAGGGGCTGTGGAAAGATTTTGGGGGGTGGTAAGGAAGAAGAGGGTGGTAGGGGGGCGGTAGTCCAAAGTCAATGTCAGAAGTTTGAACGTTTGTTTGACGATTTGTACACAACACATGCAGCACACGACTCCCAGCGATGGTTTTGTCAAATTGTCACCCAGATCTGCCGTTTTTTACCCTCTCCTGGGTTTACGTCTCCGACAAATTAATGGCCGGACTCGTGGCCAATTTCCAAATTCAATGATTAAGGAATATCTCTCAAGCTAATGAACTTAACTTGGTGAAACTTAGTGTAGACGTATTCATTAGGACCTAACCATAATGCTTAGCTCATGAAAATTGTTTGACTTTTGCCATCATCATATGGCAATACGGGCCGAAAGTCACAGTGATCAAGTAATTTCTTCCAAACTACTGAACAGATTCGAACGAAATTTTGAATTTGCAGTCTACTACCAAACGGTAATGTTCAGCTCGTGAAAATTTTTCCGATTGTGCCTTCGTTCACAATTTTTTTTTCATTTCACCTTCATTCGTGATTTAAACAGCAATACATGCTTGAATTCGCAGTAATCAAGAATTTTTTTCCGAACTGCTGAACAGATTTGAACGAAACTTACTATTTAAATACCTAACCTCAGCAACGGTGATGTTTAGCTCGTTACAATTTTTTTGTTTTGCCTTCGTTTGCGAGTTATACGGCTTTACGTATACGGGTCTTGGTTAAAGCGGCCAGCAGAAAAGCCGGTCGTTCCTCCTATATCTGTATAACTCGCGAACGAACGCTAAATAAAAAAAAATTGTCACGAGCTAAACATCACCGTTGAGAGGTTAGGTAAATATATACAAAGTTTTGTTGAAATCTGGTCTGTAGTTTAGGAGAAATTTCTTGATCGCCACGAAATTAAGTGACAAATTACCTGGCAATACGGGCCAAATATAAGGAAGTGTGAAATCAAGAATGACAGGGAAATGAAAAAAATTCGCAAGCTAAGGTAAAATCGAAAAATATTTATAAGCTAAAAAATCATCGTTTGGTAGTTAGGAATGTATATTCAAAATTTTGTTCAAATCTGTTCAATAGTTTGCAATAAATTTTTTTATCACTGCGAATTTTGGCCTGTTTTACAATATACGCGTAACTCACAAATGAAGGTGAAATTTAAAAAAAATTACAAGCTAAACATCACCGTTAGGTTCTGATGAATACATGTTCCTAGTTTCATTGAGTTGTGTTCATTAGTTTGGGAGATATTACTTGATAATTTAATTTGATGATTGGTCGTGAGACCGGCCACGAGTTCGGCCGTAAATTCGCCCGATACGTCCTAGGTTTCTAGTGCTAAAACAGTTAAAACAGCTGAAAAACATATTGGTTCACTAAATGGGGTTCTATTTGTGAAATACACATTTGTGTTTAACCTTTATCTTTTAAAATTGCAGCGTACTAAATTTCAAGAAAGAGGCGTATGTCTGTGGGGGCGCTAGTAATTCACTAGGGAGCCAAAGGGGGCGCCAGCCTGAAAAAGTTTGGGAATCACTGCTCTAAACACACCAACTAGTAGTGACTGAGTGACTAACTGCACTGTTCCCATTTGATTCAGACCATTAAACCAATACTAAACATAAATTGAACGATAACCAAACAAACCTCACACGACTTGAAAAGAGACTTAAGTTATGAGAAAATCTAACACTGTTTGAAATAAACATGTGCACAATTCATATATTTTATATCTATTCACTGCATTTGATTATTTTATATATAGTCTTATAATTTCTAGTTTTGTTTCTAGTTTTAAATTCACATATTTGAAGATTGAAATTAAATATTTTCATTAGAATACTCATATTAGGGTGGAAAATCTTTCTAATTGCCTAAAAGGTCAATACAATCTCAACCTCTCAATATACAGGGTGGGGCAGAACTGATTGAGCAGTTTTGAGGTTAAATAAAGGAGTAATGGAGGTACATAAAGAAGAAAGTTTATTTTCCTAGAGGTTAGCAGAACATACCATTTAGAATACTTATGTTTTGAAAACAATATCTGGAAGATAGGGGCCGTTAACTGCAACACACTGTTGGAGTTGTTCTCAGAGGAGGGAGTAACCGTAACAGTGAATTCCGATCGCTATGCTGCAATGTTGCAAATTTATTGCATCCCATGATGGGAAAAATTGTTGAAAATGAAGCATTTGGGAGACGTGTGGTTCCAGCAGGATGGGGCTACAGCTCACAGAGCCCGAATGTCACTCAATGTTTTGAAACGCATGTTTCCCAGACTCTGAGGGGTGATTTACAGTGGCCTGCGAGGTCACCTGATTTGAGCATTTGCAATTTCTTTCTTTGGGGACATCTAAAAGAAAGGGGCTCAGAAGTCACCCTCACAGCCTACCACAGCTAAGGGAACGGATTATTGCAGCAGAGGCTATGGCCATACCTTGCCATATGTGTGAATGTGCTGTAGAAAACTTCCGAGAACGACTCCAACAGTGTGATGCAGCTAACAAACCCCATCTTCCTGATATTATTTCCAAAACATAAGTATTTTAAATGGTATGTTATGCTAATCTTGAGGAAAATAAACTTCCTTCCTTATGTATTCTTCTTCTTTCTTTATGTATTCAATTTATTAGAACCTAATACACACTAAAGGCAACAAGTTTATATACCAATTTGTCATTCATAGTACATTTATACTAAACCATGAATAACAATACCCTACCTCAATATAAATTCAAGACTGCCACTCAATATATTTAAATATATGAAAAAATAAAAAAATCATGATTTAAAAAAAAATCAAGTGATTTAATCATTTTGATTTAATCATTGCCAACCCTGGTTTGGGTCAATAACTTTTCAATCTATGATGCCCGGTGCACAATTCTATATATAGCATTCTATGTACAATTTTGTGACGACCAATGATGCACTAATTTTTTGATAAGTGAATTATTTTCGCCACACGTGGTAAATGTAATCAAAATTCTTTGTTGTTAATCAATTTTTTTGTTAATTGAAGCATTTGCTAACTGAGGTTCTACTGTAAATGCATTTTTAAGGGTGTCCCTAATTACCCTGGGGGGTGTCCCTTTTTACCCCATCATGCGGAAATGGCTGCCATTTTTTTTGGAATGAGATAGGCAAATTCTGTCAATTATGTTTTCAAGCCAACACCTGGGTACAACTTTTATCTGTTTTATGTAAGTAAAATTTTTCAGTGTGGCAAATATTTTTTTTTTGCTCCAGACCTTAGCAGAGGTACTTTTCCAAAATTGCACTTTTCACACTTTTTTCAGCGATTTTTAGAGGTAGTAAATGTTTGATTTCTTGACTAGCTTTATACATAATAGATAGTAAAAATGTTGAAGTTTACGCCACTATTTTTAGTTTTGCAATATTTTGATTAGTTTAGCTGCAACAACATTTCTACGAAATGTGGGATGCGCGTCCCTATTTACCCCCGGCCCCTGCCCGTCCCTTTTTACCCTGTTTGACGGCGCTTGTATTTGCTGATTTCAAGTGGTAAATTAATCAATAGATGATTAAGTTAAGAGACAGTTTTAGACACATAAAAACTAATTCCATCACAGCTTGGCATTACACATACAGCTTGTTCCAAGCTGTATACAAAAATTAAAATTTTTTAATTATAAGCTTAATAGCTCTTAATTAAAAGCCTAATCAAGTAGTGTTCAATATTCAATAGTGTTCTAATTCCTAGCTGTGTCATATTCCAATACAGCTCACACAGCAATGAGCAATCGGAATTCAAACACAAAAGGGAGAGGGTCGGAATTACAAATTAGTAGTTTGAATCTAAAGGCTTTTAAATAAATATGGCAACACTTTGTGCCATTTCATTGTTGCTGGTGTGTAGTGCAGTGTTTTGAGAGTGACGTAAAGCAAACAGAATTCGAGTTGTGCATACAGTGATTTTTTTATAGCCATTCATTTTTTGCTACATCCTTAATGTGTCGGAATATACCGCATTTACCCTACTCTGTGCTGCGACTGGATTTTTGAGCTGTGCACTAACAAATTTTTGAGCCATAAGGCGAAGTCTATTTCCCATTCCCAAGCCATGAAAAGCCATAATTGAACCGTGAACTCTTGGCGCTTATTCTTTGTCTGCGGTGATGGCACGTGAGCAGACTACTAATATCAATTTCATTAAGGTTGGTGATAATCAGGGTGTGTGACACTGATGAAAAGGAATATCCAATATATAATAGGTAGTAGGGTAAACGCGGTATATTCTGACATCGTAGGTTATTCTGTCACTTCTCTAGTTTTTCCTTTATATTAAGCTTTGTTTTAGTTCCATGCGTTCATTGATGGTTGAAATGGTGACGTCATACATTTGCGTGTCGAAATACTGACAGCAGTATCATACATAAGAAATTGCTTTAAATATTGAGTAAATTATGAAATTAAAAATGAACTGATTCTAAAAAATCTCTGGTTTGCCACTATGGCTGACCGTCTGAGGGTGAGTTCAAGATCTTAATCTTCCACATAACGTTCTTGCTGCTGTCACAGTTTCTTATTCTTATTTATTATTATAGGCTAGGATTCAGCCTAGGAGCACTGGAAAGTGGAAACTAGTCCATGAACATAAAGCCCCTTGCCTAAAGTCTAAACTGGGTTGTCTCTTGTCTGGGGAGTGGGCCGTGGGGACTGGGTTTAATTGGTACCTAACAATTTAACAGCTCTGAAAGTGAAAATCAGTAAAACGTGGTAAAGGGAACAGTGAAAATTCCTGTCACAGTTTAATATATACGAGGGCCTGAGGGGAGTGCAGCGTGCACCACCAATTTTGTGCACCAATAACAAGCACTGAATCGAACGCCTTGGGCTTGGATCTCTCCAGGTTCCAAAATTTACCGCCTTTCGACCGAGGGCTGGTTCCACCAACGGCCTAAAATACGGACGGCTTGAGCCTTGAAGTGTTGAAGGCTACGTTTCGGAAGGAGGAATTTTGCAGAAATCATGATGGTCCATTACATCCAGGGCGGTGGTGATCTTTACTCTTTGGCAGGCGACCCTTACTAGACTGTTCTGTTCTGTTCTTCGATGGATTATCGGAGTGCTGCGCAGGCCAGGGCCTGACGATGATTCAGCCATACTTTCCACCTTTGAGTGTTCTTCACAGTTCACACTAATTCGGTAATCCCTAGTAAATATAGAATTTGCACTGTGTTTCAGATTTGACTACAGCACCGTGAACTTTGGTTGTTGAGCGTAAGCACCACACGTCTTGCCACCATGAACGAACAAACGAAACGCTTACTAGACTGGTACTGACTAAAACCCGGAACCGGACAGGTCCGCCGGACCCGGGTCAAGTGACTAAAACCCGGACCCGGACCGGTCCGCCGGACCAGGTTCACAAAAATAAAAGGCTGCAAATCATCTGAAACGTCGAAAAAACTTTTAATTTCACCATAGAAAATTTTTATATTTACTTAGAAAAATTTCGTCACACCAACAAATGAGGGTCACAGAAAAGTTCATTTTTCGATCGAACTAATCGATAGAGAATATTCTGGAACGTTCAGAGAACATAATACTTTTTTAACGAATTTCTGGAAATTTACTTAGAAAAATCTCATTTCAGGTCCGGGGAGCCCCAGACCAAGTGAATTTGGGGCGTGGTGACTCTGAGAAAAAAGAATTTCAGGGTCAGGCCTTTGCAACGGCCATCACGTCACGTTTTCATTTGTTAGGAAGAAGGAGACAGGGAGACCAAGCCAGGTGGAAGCAGCATTAAAGAGAAGAGGCGAGAAAGGTGTGGAAGTTTGTGTTAAGAGTGAGATGAAATCAAGGGGAAGAGAATTTCAAGGGAAAAGTCATTGGTTTATTATTGCTATTTGTGACTAAAACCCGGACCCGGACCCATGTATTCGGGTCACATAGAAGTTAATTTTTCGATCGAACTAATCGATAGTTCGAGGTCTAATTAATTAATCTTAATCGATGTTGATTGTCTAATTCAAAAACAACTGCGATCTCCACCAAACTCGAGAAATGTGTTAATTTTATACCTGCGCAGTGGCTGTAATTATTTCCGGTACGTTGGTTTAGTTTAGTCGTTAATGAATTAATTAACCAATAACTGCCGCAAATGAACTTTGATCCTATTTAGTGTTCGAATCGATTACCAAGACTTCGGTGGTATTAATAACACCCATGTACACCTGTGCCTCGGTACAGGCGGTCAGTTTGTTTTGTTCTCATTTCGAAAATTACAAGTCATAAACCAAGATTTGCTTATAAATTTCCTTGCTGTTTGGTTTGCTTGTAAGGTTAAGTCGAATTTTCACTGAAAATAGAACTTTAGGGTACGTACACAGTGGAAGCCGGTTTGCCCGCGCGGGCAACCTGCTCCAACCTGCCACAAGAATGAACATAGGATAATAATGTAAGTGTTCACAGTGGAAACCTGTACGAATAGGCTTCTGCCGACAACCTGCTTATACCTATTTACCGGAATGTACTGCACATTCTTATCTGCTCAACCTGCTTGGCAGAAGGTCATTTTTGAATTAGTTGTACCTTTAAACCCTACATTTTCTTCGTTTCTTTGGCCCTATAGCGGCATGCGTCGAGGGTTCTCATGTAAACAAACAACTTTATAAAGGTGGCGAGGAGTCTGCACTCAATTGGAGGGATTTTTGAGAGGTAATAACACATGATGAGCATCAGCTGTCGTAGGCGTCAGCTCAGCAGCAGTCGTAGCGCTGTCGTAGAACGCAGCAGTTCTGACGCTGGCACAGCAGTATCAACGCACGAGGACGGGTTTTAGTTCTCTTTCGCAGGAAGAAATTATTTCGAAGGAAGAAATGCGACAAAATAGGAAGTAAATCCTTGACTGGTGAAGGCGAGAAGACCAACACGTGAAGAGGTTCAGCAAGAGAAAGACAGGCACAGACTTCATTATAAGCAAGGTAATTAAATACGTCATCTCGTCCACTGTTGACTAGCTTTATTAGCGTCATTATTATCTGTACGTGGAGCACCGAATAAATAGCCATCACTCAGAAAAGATGTCCTATTTCAATCCACTAACAAGTCAACAATTCAAAAGAGAACGCAGAAAAGTTTTATAATCATGTAATTAAGAAGCAAACAAAAATGTGGTGCTTAGCTCGGTTGAGAAGCTTGCTGAATGAGAGCTGCTTGCTCGGCCCGACATGAAAAAGAATTGATAGGAGAGCGGTGCTGGTGTACAATCAACCAGATTCCACGTAGTTTCTTAGCATATCTAGCGTATGCGTCAGCTCATATGGTTGACTCGTGTTTATCGGTAACCATGACTCGGTTGACTCGACATATGGTTGACTCGTGTTTATCGATGAGAAACTGCTATTAATGGGATCATTGAGGGTCATCCAAAGGGTGATGGTTTGATTGGTGCCTTGTGCATCTTTTTAGACACAAGAAAAGTAATTAATAATCATTTATAAAGTAAACTCCACATGCCAGATTCAACATTTCTCATTGAACTATAACATCGCAGGACCTACTGACGCTTCTCGTTCTTTTTGCCGCCTCGGCCGTGCCTGCTGCCACGGCTGTTGTTGCTGCTGACACTCCCAGCGCGGCTGTTATTATTACTTTGACTGCCAGCCCGGCTGTTGTTAGTGCTGCCTCTTTTTTCTCCGCTCCCCGATTTCTTAAGACCCCCGTCACGGTCTGGGATGTTGGGCCCCAGAGAAGTAGGGCGCGGTGCGGCCCAGCACCCGTCGTCCAGGTCTGGGCTCTTGGAGGACTCGTGGTCAGTGGCGGCCCTGGAAGAGAAGGGCGTCGAGTCGCTCACGACGCTCGAGGTCGTGTTCGTCGACCACGTCAGGTCCTCGTCAAAACTCCCGCCAGGTTTCAGGGGCGGGAAATCCTGGCCTGCGAAACACAAGATGCGTTAATGAGAATTTTATTGTATTCGCGGACTGTTGTATTGTCGTATTCGTACAATCTCGTTGCAAAGTATGAAAGTTAGGCCAAAAATACAGCTTTCACAATGAAGGCAGTTAAGAATACGTTTGCATCTCTACCGTTTTTATTCTGAAATGTTGAATATTGCAAGAATACCTAACACTGCCAAGCACCGCGGGAAGAACAAAACTGGATAATACCACTCACCGAAGGTGCTGGATATGGCCGACGTTGCCACGGCGTCTGCGACGGGAAGATCATATTTCTTGTGGTCAGTTGGAGAGTAAGGTCCTTCATGATGGTCCTGCTGGTCCTTCTGGTGCTGCTGCCGGTCGCTTGCACGCGGCGCCTCCAGCACCTTGAGATGCAGGCTGTATTGCTGGTCCAGGCCCAGGTAGCCGTCCGAGGTGAAGTACAGCGTCAGCACAACGTTACCTGCAACACGTGGCGGTGTTACCTGCAACACGTGGTGGTGTAGGGGGCGTGGGTGCGTAGTGAACCCATCTGTCGGGGGACGGGAGTTAGATGCACGTCGCGGGGGCATGACGGGGGACATTTTGGGAAGCGTCTACGGAAGAGCCGATGACGAGGTACTTTAGGGGTGATTCGATTCTGGGGGAGGCAAAATTTATACTGGGGGATTCTTACAGAGGAGAAAAATAAGGAAGGGCCGATGTCGGGTTAATATAGAGGTGTCTCTAAGGGGGGGGGGGGGGCACAATCGAAAAAACGTGTAATTTTTATAGAAGAAAACAATTTTCCGGGAAATATGGTTGAGTTAATGAGGGGAGGGGGAGAATGACGAGAGCACAATAAATAAAGTACACGTCATGGGGGAGACATGAACTACTCTACATATGAAAGGTATGAACTATTCAAGTAGTGGAAAATTATAAACGTGCATTTATAGTTAAAACGTCTTGAAAATCCGAATAGATAAATGGGGAAAATTCCACAAAAACTTCGTCCATTTGTTAGATTGTCAGGACGAACTGAAATGGTAATAGAGATCATATTCTCGGTGCCATGAAGCGATCGAAGTTTTGCCATCACCAGGAAAAGTAAAGCGGAACACAAATAAAAAAAAAAAATAAAGTCATGACTCTTGAAATTAAGGCAATAAGGGAACAGTCTAGTGATTGGAGAGTGAACGAAATGTAATCCAATTAATCGATTTAATATTAAAAAAAGCGACAAAAATGAGAGCTCAGGCCACGAGCTCAAACTAGTAACATTTCCATAAAGCAACAGAGCTTTTTTTGTACCTCATCTTCAATAATACTAGAACTCTTACAGATCTCAGTGCCAGAAAATGTTACTTCATCACAGCATCAGCGTTGTGCAACCTAGTGTAAGTAGACAAGTAACCATTACTTGTAACTTGGTAACTAGTGATTACTTGTCACCACCACTCACCCAGTTGAGGCGGTGCAGGGTCACCACCAAGCTGTAGTCACCACCACTCACCCAGTTGAGGCGGTGCAGGGTCACCACCAAGCTGTAGTCACCACCACTCACCCAGTTGAGGCGGTGCAGGGTCACCACCAAGCTGTAGTCACCACCACTCACCCAGTTGAGGCGGTGCAGGGTCACCACCAAGCTGTAGTCACCACCACTCACCCAGTTGAGGCGGTGCAGGGTCACCACCAAGCTGTAGTCACCACCACTCACCCAGTTGAGGCGGTGCAGGGTCACCACCAAGCTGTAGTCACCACCACTCACCCAGTTGAGGCGGTGCAGGGTCACCACCAAGCTGTAGTCACCACCACTCACCCAGTTGAGGCGGTGCAGGGTCACCACCAAGCTGTAGTCACCACCACTCACCCAGTTGAGGCGGTGCAGGGTCACCACCAAGCTGTAGTCACCACCACTCACCCAGTTGAGGCGGTGCAGGGTCACCACCAAGCTGTAGTCACCACCACTCACCCAGTTGAGGCGGTGCAGGGTCACCACCAAGCTGTAGTCACCACCACTCACCCAGTTGAGGCGGTGCAGGGTCACCACCAAGCTGTAGTCACCACCACTCACCCAGTTGAGGCGGTGCAGGGTCACCACCAAGCTGTAGTCACCACCACTCACCCAGTTGAGGCGGTGCAGGGTCACCACCAAGCTGTAGTCACCACCACTCACCCAGTTGAGGCGGTGCAGGGTCACCACCAAGCTGTAGTCACCACCACTCACCCAGTTGAGGCGGTGCANTGTCCAATAGAATGATAAGCATGCCATTTATCACCACAACTGTCCAATAGAATGATAAGCATGCCATTTATCACCACAACTGTCCAATAGAATGACATTCTAAGTGTTTCTAAATTGTTTCTTCTATCTTACAGATACTATAGTGATGTTATGTTATTTTTACGTCACACAAACTATGCCTCGTAATTACAGATAATTACCTCTCAAGTAACACTGAGAGGTAATTGATCGAAATAAGTTAGATCCCACACTACCGTTGCGCTCTCCATACACTTGAATGTAATGGTAAATGGAACAGTAATCCTGGACTTTAAAGCTCTCCATACACTTGAATGTAATGGTAAATGGAACAGTAATCCTGGACTTAAGATTTGGAAGCAATGCGCCAGAGTATAACAGGACCAGAGTCTTCAAACGAGTAGCAAAATTAGCAATGTTTTGTGGTGTAGGATATCTTTGAATCCTTCAGGGATCGTACGGGTGCAAGTGTTAATTAATAAGCTGCTACTGCATTAAGGTCCTAATTAATAAGCTGCTAGTGTATCTAGGTCCTAATTAATAAGCTGCTAGTGCATCAAGGTCCTAATTAATAAGCTGCTAGTGCATCAAGGTCCTAATTAATAAACTGCTACTGCATCAAGGTCCTAATTAATAAGCTGCTAGTGAATCAAGGTCCTAATTAATAAACTGCTAGTGTATCAAGGTCCTAATTAATAAGCTGCTAGTGTATCAAGGTCCTAATTAATAGGCTGCTAGTGTATCAAGGCGCACCAAACAATACCAACACAATGGAATTATTCCCGGACTCTCATCAACCAAAAATTCAACACTTATCCCTAACAATAAATAAATACCTCATTGATTCGCCAACATTAAACATGTTAGTGCATGTACATACGAGGCGGGAATATCAGTCAAGTTCTCTGGCTCAGTGCACTCAAAAACGGAAAATTATATTGTTCAAATACGGACACACTTTTTGCACGTTGTAATGATCCGCCTGTTTGTCGAGCCCAACATGGCTTGGATGACACAAACAATAGCAAAATGCATCGCTATTTGGACAAATTTTCTCATTTTAGCGCATTTTCTCATTTATGGAAAAAATGCACTATTGTGCTCGCCATGTCCGTCTGTCCGTCCGTAACCTCAAGTTTTCGTCAACGAGAAAATGCGCTCTCTGTCACTCACTGCAGTGAGTACTGAATTATATTTTTTTATGCTGAGCCCTGGTACATGCAAGGCTGGTGGATAAACAATCGAACAAACCAGACTCATTCAAAAGATCTCAAATGCTCATGTTTTTTTTCAAAATGCAACATGAACTTGTAGGTTCATGTTTTTTTCAAAATGCAACATGAACTTGTAGGTTCATGTTTTTTTCAAAATGCAACATGAACTTGTAGGTTCATGTTTTCAATGTAAAAGTGTTTGCTCCGCTCCATTGGAAGCTGCACCACGGTGCAAATAAATGATTGAAAACAGTAAATGAGATAGATAATTTGTTGTAAATATTAAACCCCCGGCGTCTACTGACCTTATTGATTACTGATAATGTTCTGAAAATATCTTATAAATAATATTCTGAAAAAAAAAAAATCTTATAGCAGATTGATTATATAACAGATTGATTATAAATATCTTAGAGCAGATTGATCATATTGATATATAATATTCTGAAAATATCTTAGAGCAGATTGATTATATTGATATATTGATGGTTACTTTCCTTATAAGTGGCAAACTCTGCGCATATAAATAAACTGAGTTACCACCATCAGTGACCACCATCAGTTACCACCATCAGTTACCACCATGAGTTACCACCATGAGTTACCACCATCAGTTACCACCAGTTACCATCAGTTACCACCATCAGTTACCTGAGCGATGGTGTCAATTTGTGTGGCGCTGAGCTGGTCCCCCAGCATCGTGGTCAGCGCGCCTGCCGTGCGACGCTCTCCTCCTGACGAGCCATGAATTACGATGAATAAATGATGAATGAATGAATGTTACTTACATCCAATGAATTACAAAGAATAAATGATGAATGAATGAATGTTACTTACATCCAATGAATTACAAAGAATAAATGATGAATAAATGAATGTTACCTACATCCAATGAATTACAAAGAATAAATAATTAATAAATGAATGTTACCTACATCCATTGAATTACAATGAATAAATGATGAATAAATGATGAATAAATGAATGTTACCTACATATAATGAATTACAATGAATAAATGAAGAATAAATGAAGAACACACGCGATGAATTACAATGAATAAATCTGGTGAATATTGTGGATTTCATTAATTTATTTCACACGTTATACCGAATAAAACGTAATTTAAGAGCATAAGGCTGGGTCATAACAGCAAATGTTGGATCAAATTAAAAACTCAACAGAAGAAGCATCAGAATTATTATTTACAGTGAAATTCTTCAATTATTATTGAGGTTAGCGCGTTATTGATTATTATTGAGTGAAAAATATTAACGTTGATGGCGGTTCACCAGTGATGGAGGCGATGCAGTGCTCGAGCTCGGGCAGTGACAGGATGGCGGCCCTGGTCTTGGGGTGGGTGAAGGCGGGGAGGATGGCGGGGGTGATGTAGGGGAGGGTGAGCAGGGTGCAGTCTGTCCCCCATCTCGCCTGGGTGATCATCTGCATGAGCAGCTGGGTGAGCAGGGCCGTCGCCAGCCACCCAGCGCTCGCCGCCATGTCCAGCATCGCTTGCAGTATCCTGATGGCCATATATACATTAATATACATTCATATACATTGAATACATATGATATTACATATACATTAATATACATTCATTATGACTGCAGCACTCGTCGCCATGTCCAGCATCGCTTGCAGTATCCTGATGACGAAATATACATTAATATACATTCATATACATTGAATACATATGATATTACATATACATTAATATACATTCATTATGACTGCAGCACTCGTCGCCATGTCCAGCATTGCTTGCAGTATCCTGATGACGAAATATACATTAATATACATTCATATACATTGAATACATATGATATTACATATACATTAATATACATTCATTATGACTGCAGCACTCGTCGCCATGTCCAGCATCGCTTGCAGTATCCTGATGACGAAATATACATTAATATACATTCATATACATTGA